CGAGTCAGTCATCTGCCAGATGTGCTAATGTTTGCACGCTGTTAATTTTGTGCGGGAACCGCGGAATAGTTAGGGCGTCTAGTAAATATCCTGTCTAGGAATTATAACGCGCATTCCCTGTTTGGATAGCCTTTCCCGGGACTTATTGGGTCCGACTCAGAATCTGTATAAGTGCATTCGACAATATAAGCTAGTGCGGCCTCTGTATTTAGAACTTATCTATTGCCACGCGAAACGGTAGTGACCTTTGACCCAGAAACTCCGGGCGTGTTTTGTGCGGTAACCTTATACCCCGCGATAGTTAGTGGCTTCTGTAAGCTAGTTAATAGTACGATAGAGTTAAGTGACTGGCATCGTGGTGAACCAAGAAAGTGACTGTGGATAACCTCGAAAGGCCCCCTCAAGTTGGAGCGGTGTCGACGCTCGGGCTGCTGCCGACGGCTAAGGTCTAGGTTCAATCACCATCAGTCACACCCAGATACACACCACATCACCATTCTTTCCCTTGCACTACACAACCACATGCGACCTGACCGACTCCGGAGGAACCAGTCGCCTTGGATAGAGGTAAGTGAACTCCGCCAAATTCCTTCCGGTCGACTGGCCGTAGTATAACGCTCCCCCATATATTTAGTGTAATTAGAGAACTTCCACGTGGCCTTAGGAGGCCCGACCTACGTTTGCTCGGGAAGTCTTCTGCTGATGGGCCCCGGGGGATTGGATCCTTTAAGGGAGCAACCGTAGGCCGTAACACCAACGTTTTATCGAATAAAATCGTATCTAGCAATCATCTATACTTATATAAATCTGTAGAGAGGTCAATTCTGTACATGAAATATATTTCCAAAATAACTATCAGGGGGTGATTAGTGATCGATACTGATGCCAAAAATGCAAACAGTAAAATTTTTGTCTGTCTGTCTGTCTGTATGTTCGTTATAGAAACAAAAACTACTCGACGGATTATAACGAAACTTGGTACAATCATTCTTCATACTCCTGGGCAGGTTATAGTACTTTTCATCACGCTACGATCAATAGGAGCAGAGCAGTGAAGGTAAATGTTGGGGAAACTGGAGAAATTACTCCATTTTTCAAGCTTCCGTCGCGTGTGCAGCCTTAATGGTTAAAGCTACACAGAAATCATGTATAACGGAAATGTTCTCCTTAAAATTATATAAAAAATATCCCACGACAGCATATGTCTATCTTTTATGGTTGACTCACAATAACACGTGTAACTCCAGATAGCTTAGCAGTTCGGAGCTTTCTGATGATATTTGTCTACTCTTACGTTTATAACACTCTCACTCATCCCTAATTAAAAAAAGTTAACATCTATTCAATAAAAAAGAATCATAGAAATCGGTATAGAAACACTAAAGTTATACATGAAATAAGCTAATAAGCCATTGCGCGTGAATACTGAATCACGCGCAATGGAGGATTATTTTTGTGTAACGGTCGCTGCGCTCGACGCGGCTCGCGGCGGGAGGTATAAAAAGGCGGGGGGTCCGAGTGCGAGCTCTGCGCCCTCTTTTCCCAAAAGAGGGTCGCTTCCGATCCGGCATAAGACGCTTAAACAGCTGGTTGCCAGTCCCCAAAGGTGGTTTTTAGCGGATATCACTTAGGTCCCCCGTAGGCAGTGAGTCCCGCATAACCACGACAGACCGGCTGTCGTGGTATGCATAAATGCATTTTCCGCCTCCCTACGTAATGGGTAGCCCTTTTTCCAATTGCTTCTGGGCGCAAAAAAAAAGTGCGAGCTTCATACATATTTGGCTGTTGATGCGAATAGACAGACGTTCAGAGTATTCGACCTTATTGACAGACAATAATTGATTTTAACAAACCGTGCTTATCAGCGCGACTTTTAGTCTACTCTTACGTTTAATAATTTATTTTTAGATTTCTTTGGTTGTTATTTTATAAAATAGGTATTAGTTATTTTGGTAGTGTTTAAATATTTCTTAGTATTAGCTTAATTATAAATTAAACTTTTTTTTTATTTAGTTGTAGTTTTAAATAGGTACCTAGGTATCAAATAGGTTATTTCATTCTATTATACGTAGTTTAGGTACCTACTTATATATTTTTAAGAATTTAATTTTGGATTTAAGGATTTATTTAGGATCCGTTTTATTATTTAAGTAGGCATTTAGATTTTTTTAAGTGTATGGTAGCTATAGTTAGGACCTCTAACGTAGATTATTTTGTTAGGTAACTGAATGCCGTCGATTAAAAATAAAATACACAACGTCACCCAAAAAACGATTATCTTTATCCCGAAATTCGAGAGAAGCTAAGAGAATGAGAAATGTGCGTTCTCAAGAATCGGCAGAGGAAAGAGCACATCGGTTTAACTCTATGAGAGTTAGTGCCTCAACTTCTCGAGCCAATGATAGCTCTCCAGAAAGAGAGATGCGATTAGCAGCTGACAGAGCGAGACGAGCTACATCACGGGCGTCTCAAAGTTCTTCTCAACGAGAGCTAAGGCTTACCATTGACCGAGAACAACATGTGTTATCCCGAGAAGCTGAAACTGCTTCACAACGAGAATTGCGGCTCACAGCTAACCGCGAACGGCATACATTATCTCGCGAGTCCGAAACCTACACTGAGAGGGAATTACGTCTCACAGCTGATCGCGAATGGCATGTACTATCCCGTGAGTCCGAAACCTACACTGAGAGGGAATTACGTCTCACAGCTGACCACGAACGGCATACATTATCTCGCGAGTCCGAAACCTACACTAAGAGGGAATTACGTCTCACAGCTGATCGCGAACGTCATATTTTGTCTCGAGAATCTGAAACTTTTACTCAATATGAAGACCGTTTGACAAATAATAGGGTGCACCATAATATTATTCGATCTCTTGAAGATGAACAATGGCATGAACAACGACTAGAGTCGGGACGCGAATATTACAATTCTTTGAGACAAGAACGATTAATAAGTTTGTCTAATGAAAGATTAAGAATTGAAAATATTCGGTCTCTTGAAACGGACGAACAGCGAGAGGACCGTCTTACTGCAGACAGATTTCGACATTGTCTTAATTCACATAGAAGATCAATCTACAAATTCGGTGGCGTGGTCCGACAAATATAAAATTTATTGAAAGTATTGCAACCGCAGTCAAACATACCACCGTGTCTAATGACATTGTTGCCATTCACCGAGTGCCTCACGCAAACACTGGCAATCCACATCCCAAAAATATTACAGTTAAATTCAGTCCGCGTATCATTCGTGACAGTTTTCTAACAGCATATCGCAAAAACAAAGGTCTAACAACTGATCAAATAGGCATTGCTGGGTCTCCTCGTAAAATATATGTTAATGAGCACCTCACATTACAAAAGAAAAAGTTGTTTCAAGAGACACGAGAAGTGGCAAAAAAGAATAACTTTCGCTTCGTATGTATTAAGCACGGTAATATACTTGTCCGAGAAAAGGACACATCTCCAGTGTTTTCCATCCGTTATAGAAACGACTTGTCGAAAATACATATTAAAAACTCCGCATGATTCAAATTCTTATAATATTTGTATTATTTTTTTCTATATTAAGATTATCTGTTTTTATTTTTTTATAGCTAAAGATGTTTTGTATTTTCACCCATTAAGACACATGTTAAATTACAGCATCTTATTGCTTAGATGTTGCCGTCTTTTATATTCCTCCGCAATGGCCGTTTGAAGTCAAACTTGGATGCATTGCAAAACATCCTGTTATCGGGAAATTTTGACAAATTCTATATATTAGGCGACTTTAATATTTCTTCTATTAATTGGGCATTGCTTAATGAATGCGAATTAACTTTGATTGGAAAATACATGCTTAATTTTATTAATATAATTGGCGGCTACCAAAATAATTATTTAAGAAATCACCAAGGAAACTTACTTGATTTATTTATTAATAACAATAATAATATAATTTATGTTTAGTACCCTCAATGGAATTAGTCCCCTTAGATCCTTTTTATCCGCCTTTTTACACTTGTATTTATCTATCTTCCTTGTCTCGGGCTATGCCGCGCGGACTTGTTTTGAAATACGCTTTTTTTGAAGCCAAATATGATGAAATTAACAATAGTATTAAGAAAATTGACTGGGTTTCCTTATTTTATAATAAAACATCTGAATCGTCTGTAAACGCATTTTATGAACAGATTTATTTAGTTATTAAAAACAATTTAAACCCTCAGGCTTTCCCATCTGGTTTCCAAGACCACTAATACATATATACAAAACAAAAATAGAGCTTGGATAAAATGGAAAAAGTATAAGTCGTATTCCGACTACGAATCTTTTTGATTTGATCCAGATTCAAAGCTGAATGTGTCCTTTGTTTTCGCAAGTACATGAACACCATAGAAGATGGCCTACGAAAAGATGTTAAGAAATTTTGGCAATACATTCATAATCGTAAAGATAGCAATAGTATTCCAGATAATATCAAATACAAACAGGAAGCAACTAACTTACCAGACGAAGCATGTAATCTGTTTTCAAGCTTCTTTAAATCCGTATTTGAACCATCTAACTTAGATTCAGAGAAGTCTGAATGACTTTATTTCTACTATAAATTTCACTGTTGATATGGTAAAAAAGAACTTGAAAATTTTAGATGTTTGCTAGGGATCTGGACCGGATGGTATTCCTCCTTTCTTCCTTAAATATACAGCGGACACAATCTGTGTTCCTCTGACGATTATTTACAATAAGTGCATTCAAGATGGTGTCTTTCCTGCTATTTGGAAAACAGCAAATATCACGCCTATTCATAAAGAGGGATCCAAGAACGACGTAGAGAATTATCGGCCAATCCCATTACTATCCGTATTGTCAAAGGTGTTTGAAAGATTAGTACATAATAATATTTATCCTGTCTATCACAATATAATCATACGCGAACAACACGGATTTGTTAAAAAACGATCCACATTAAGTAATCTCCTCGTTTATACTACATACTTATTTGAACATATGGATAAGGGAATACAGGTCGATTCTGTGTATACTGACTTCCGTAAGGCCTTCGATAAAGTAGATCACTATATATTACTCAAGAAAATCGCTTTTAATGGGATTCGTGGTGATTTGCTCAGATGGTTTCATTCTTACATTACAAAAAGAACTCAGAGAGTTGTCGTTAACGGCCATTCATCTAACTTAGTTACTGTCATATCAGGTGTACCACAAGGCTCTATTCTCGGTCCCTTGCTGTTTATCTTATTTATCAATGACATCAACAATTGCTTTCATCACAGCCATTTCCTACTTTACGCTGACGACCTAAAGGTATACCTGCCAATCTTAAGCGCTGATGACAACTTTAAGTTACAAAGTGATCTTTATCGCTTATCTTTGTACTGTACTAAAAATAAACTACAGCTTAATGTTGATAAATGTAAATCAATAACATTTACAAAGAAGCGTAATCTTATAAATAATACATATACTATTAATAATACAGAGTGGATCTAATTAAAGATCTAGGAGTTATACTAGACACAAAACTTGATTTTAACAATCACATTAACTATATTACCAACAAAGCATATTGTATATTTGGTTTTATTATTCGCTCTTGTAGTGAATTCGTTCGACCCAATTCATATATCAACTTGTTTAATTCTCTGATCGGACCGATATTGGAGTACACCTCTATCATATGGAACCCATTCTATGAGAAATATAATCCAACGTAAATTCTTAAAAACCGTTAACTATAGATGCTATCACAGTGCGTATTCAAGTCATATTAATTTATTAGACAAATTTTCGCTCCTACCTCTTTACAAAAGAAGGATACTTATAAATAATTGATATTTGTATAAACTATGTCATAATGATATCGATTGTATTCAACTCACTAATCAAATATTCTATCGCGTTCCAAGTGTTTCACAACGTATTCGTGAGAAATACTCACATAAACTATTTATGACAAAAATCTGTCGTACTATCGCTGGTCTTCGTTCCCCATTAAGACGCATAGTGCAATCATATAATGATTACTTTAGCGATATTTATATTTTTACTGCCTCAAATATGTGCTTTAAAAAATATATTAAGAATAAATTACAGGTATTACAAATTTAAAATTTTATTTGTGTAAAAGTCTCTTATAATGTTTAATACTTATATTTTTTTTGTGATAGTAATTTTTTCTCTTCAACTCGTTACTTATTGTTTATACTAATATGTGGTATACGGTGTTGAATGTACATATATTATACTCTTTTTTGATAATACTTTTTTTTATAAATACCTTTGTACATTTGTTTGTATATCTTAATAAATAAATAAAAAAATAAATAAAATAAAAGTGGGTTTGCTTATAACCTCACAATTGATTACAGATCATCTTCTGTAATAGGCGATATGAACGTAGTATGTTCTTTTTGTAATGTTTTAAAGTGGAGTAAGGAGTCGGCTGGTTTATGTTATTCTGGAGGTGAAATAAATTTGCCTTCGTTCGAAGATCCACCGGAACCTTTGAAGTCACTACTTTTAGGGGAACATGTGCAATCTAAACAGTTCTTAGACAATATTCGCACTTATAATAGTGCGTTTCAAATGACATCCTTTGGTGCTCAACAAATCTCAGAAGGTCCTTTCATGCCTACTTTTAAGATACAAGGTCAGGTTTACCATTTGATAGGATCCCTTTTGCCTGAAGATTAACCTAAGTTTCTTCAAATATATTTTGTATCCGACTACAACGAACAGTCGAATATAAGAAATCAATATTTCCCTGAACTTACTTCACAACTTCAGAACATGTTGCATGAGGTTAATTCGTATTGTTACGAGCTTGGGATTCGAGACAATTAAAAACTGCCGATTGAATTACCAAAATTGACACTTTAATTACACAACACTAATTACAATCTAAAATCTCACTAATAATAAAACACAGTTCGCCGTTATTTCGCTTCGAAGTATTCTCTTGTATCGCCAATTCAATACTGCCCCGGTCGTGGTCTATACCGGCCTTATATAGGGCCTCAGATAGTTTCCAGAACCTTCTACTGTAGCGACATCTAGAATGTTCGAGTACATATCGGTTCCGAAATTTCTGGAAGGATCTCGGCTCTCCTAGTTCTGCTACTCGACACTAGAGGGCGCTAGTGTAACTAGTGTTGCCATGTACAAGACATTAATAGTGGCGCGCAATACTTTCATTTACTCGACACTAGGGGGCGCTAGTGTAACTAGTGTTGCCATGTACAAGACATTAATAGTGGCGTGTAACACTGCCCCCTCCTAAGACATGCTCGTCCCGAGCATTATTGGCCCCATAATAACGCGCCAGTCGATCCACATGGACAATCTTAGGAGTACCTCTGGCACCTTTCTGTATCCGGTAGGTTACGTCATTGATCCTTGTCACAATCCGGTACGGTCCGTCCCATTTAGCTTGAAGCTTAGGAGATTTCCCTTTGCTGCGAACTGGATTGTGTAACCACACTAGTGAACCTTCATCAAACCCCTTGTTGTTCATTTTGCGGTCATACCGTGTTTTCATCTTCTCAGACGTTTGCTGGCCCGTCTGTCTGACGTGCTCATAAATGTCATTCATTTTGTTCCGCAAGTCATTTGCATAATCGGTTATACTGCGTGGGGCATCAGGTGGTATTCCGGTGATCAGGTCTGCAGGCAGCCGCAATTCTCTCCCAAAGTTTACGAAAGCTGGTGTCACTGATGTACTTTCGTGAACAGCGCTTCGATATGACAACAAAAACGGTTGTATGTGCCTGTCCCAGTCTCGTTGCCGTTTTTCCACAACTTTTGCTAGGTACCTCTCCAATGTCTGATTAAATCTTTCTACCATTCCATCAGATTGTGGGTGGTAAGAAGTTGTTCGTGTTTTCTGAGTACCCATAACTCGGCAAGTTTCCTGGAATATTTGAGACTCAAAATTCCTTCCTTGATCGCTGTGAATCTCTAAAGGTACTCCAAAACGACAGAAGACTTCATGAACTAGTTTATCTGCAACGGTTGAAGCTTCTTGATTTGGAATGGCGAAGACTTCTGGCCACTTAGTGAAGTAATCCATCACGACCATGAAATACTTGTTACCACTTTCAGCTTCTGGAAACGGCCCCGCAACGTCAATGGCTATCCTCTCCCATGGTGCACCAACATTGTACAATTTCAATGCGCCTCTACTACGAATTTGAGGTCCCTTTACAGCCGCACAACTTGTACATTTGCGGCACCAGTCCTCGACATCGTCACGACAGTGGACCCAGTAAAACCGTTCTCGGATCTTCAGGAGAGTTCGTTTAACTCCCAGGTGGCCTCCTGAACAACCACTATGGTACAGCTGTAGAATATCCGGCACTTTAGCCTTAGGGACAACCATTTACAAATGACACCTGTCTCCCCGACCATTTTCCCATTTACGGCACAGGACTCCATCCTGAATCAGCAAGCTGTCCCATTGGGCCCAATAGCTTTTCGTGGTCGAACTCATTGCTGAGACGTCGCTCCACTTGGGCTTAGGAGCACTGGCCTTCATCCATTCCAGAATCGGCTTAATGTCCGAATCTTCCTGCTGTGCATGTTGTAGGCTGTCCTTCCACTCATTGCTGAGCTGGTCTGTCCTGAGCATTCTCACAGAAACCACTTCCTTACCCTCTTGCCTAGTACAATGCTTGCAATCTTCAGGGCAAGGTCTTCTTGACAATGCATCTGCATTGCCATGAGATTTCCCGCTGCGATGTTCGATCACAAAGTCGTATTCCTGCAGTAGTTCTATCCATCTCGCAACTTGTCCTTCCGGATTTTTGAACTGCAATAGCCATTTCAGTGCAGCATGGTCAGTCCGTAAGTGGAATTTCCGCCCTAGAAGATATTTGCTAAAATGCTGCAAAGACTTTACCACAGCAAGCAATTCCCGTCTTGTGACACAATAGTTCCTTTCCGGCTTTGACAACGACTTGCTGAAGTACGCTATCACAATCTCTTGATCACCATTCCGTTGAGACAACACACCGCCAAGTCCAATATCACTTGCGTCTGTGTCAACTATGAATTCCTTGCTCGCATCAGGGTACCCTAAAATAGGTGTTTTGCACAGGCGGTTCTTGAGCTCCTGGAATGCAATATCGCAACTTTCATCCCAGCAGAATTGTCGCTTCTCCTCGGTTAGCTTGTGCAGAGGTTTGGCTATATCTGCAAAGTTCTTCACAAATCGCCGATAATAAGAGCACAAACCCAAAAATGCTCTAACCTGTGTCTTGTCTTTTGGGACCGGCCACTCCTTGACAGCAGCAATTTTCTCTGGATCCGTGCGGATACCTTCTTCCGACACTACATACCCCAAAAAACTAACTTGCCGTTTGAATAGTGAGCACTTCTTTGGACTCAACTTGAGGTTGGCACTCTGGATCTTCATGAGCACGCGTTCCAGGTTTTGAAGGTGTTCCTCAAACGTACGGCCTACGATGATGATGTCATCAAAATAGACCAGACAGGCATCTCCAATTAGCCCGGTAAGTACAAGCTCCATCAACCTTTCAAACGTTGCTGGAGCATTGCACAATCCAAACGGCATGACTTTAAATTGCCACAGACCCTTTCCTGTGGAGAATGCAGTTTTCTCCTTGTCCTTAGGGTCAATTTCAACCTGCCAGTAGCCACTTTTCAGATCCAGCGTACTAAACCACTTTACGCCTGTAAGCATGTCCAGCGTGTCATCAATTCTTGGCAAGGGATAGCTGTCCTTCTTTGTAACGTCGTTCAGGCAGCGGTAGTCAACACAAAACCGCATGCTGCCGTCCTTCTTCTTTACCAGCACCACAGGTGAACACCATGGACTAGATGAAGGTTCAATAACACCATCCTTCACCATTCCCTCAATCATGGTTTCCACTTCCTTTTCACGTGCTACAGGCAATCTTCTTGGCCGCTGACGAATAGGCAATTCTTGTCCTGTGTTTATTTTGTGTTGAACTAAGCCAGTCTTTCCTATGTCAGCTTCGTTTGACGAGAAAACATTGGCGTACTTGAGTAACAACTTCTTTGCTTTGACCATTTCATTCGGAGAGAGAACGCTGCGACAGTCTTCTAAAAGTGTGGTCTCTCTAGTTTGTCCATCCTTGCTGGGGGTCCCAGTCGATAGATATTGGCACTGACGCAACCAATCCACTTCCTCACTAGTACCAACCAATGTGCCTTTTTCTATAATCTGTTCCTGATCACAAAGGTTCAGCACACGTACTCTTGAGATGTCAGCGGTTCTGACCAATGTTCGAGCCACTTTCCATGGAAGGTCATTGTCTACCCTTTCCACGAGTACACAACGAAGAGTTTGCCCAGGATTCCGTGGAAGTCTAACCGGCACAATCGTTTCCGATCTCGGCGGAAGAACAATCTTCTTAAGGCTGTACACATTCCCTGGTAACGCCCCTTCCACGAAAAGTTCCTCTTGTCCACATTTCAAAACACCTTGCTTAACGTCGATCTCACAACAA